AGGCGATGCAATAAAAATAAAAGTAAAGTTGACTTTTTTTTTTGGAACATAATTTATTTAACACGAATATTTCGTCCACTCATGTGGACTTCATCAGCGTATTACGGAATACGGTTACGTCATCAAATTTTTAGACAACCCTTCCCATACAGTATAGCATATCCTGTCACAACGAAGGCAATTCATACATTTTGCATTAATCAAGTATCATGCAGCTCATACAGCTTATTGTCAATAGTGTTTCAGGCACAAATGACGATAATGACAATGACGTATTTGTATTCGTTATCGTTCAATCAAACGTTTAGCCTATATTAGACAAACCTTTGAGACATAAACCTTAACATGAAAACAGAATATTTTGTTCTTCATCATTAAATTGAATTTGGTGCTGTTTATCTTTGTATTCCTTCATTTCAGATGGGCTTTATTATAGTAATGTACCGCCAATATGGATAGTATTAAATCTGTCATTGTTCATACTGTATTTCGTAGAAAACAATCTTTTTCTTCTTGCATGGGCCATCTGTCCAGGGAGGTTGTTTTTTTTTTTTTTTTTGTTTATCAATTTTGTTGATCATACATTTAATTTACCCACAAACAAAAGCAAAAAAAAAAACCCAAAAAAAAAAAAACAACTACAAATCTGATGCTCAAGGCATTCTACCCAAGTAATGGATATACACAGTGCAGCAATATTAAAATTCTTGTATTAAATTACATTATTTTATGGTTTGATTTGTATGGATATTTTGTCAATTTGAATAACTTTATTCTAATAATTGTTACTACTACCGTACTATTAATAATTATTATAATAATAACAATAATAATAATAGTAATAATAATAATGATAAGATTATAATAATAAACATTATTATTATCTGATCATGATCGTCATTGTTATCATCATTATCATCACCACTACTAGTATTATCAATATCATCATCACCATACCGTCATCACTACCACCACCATCATCTTTATCATTATAATCATCATCATCATTATCATCATCATCATCATCATCATTATCATCATCATCATCATTACTATTATTACTATTAGAATTATTATGATTAACTCTATTATTATTATTATTATTATTATTATCATTATTGTCATTATATCCTATTTTCGTTATTATTATTATTATCATTATGCACTATTATTATTATATTAATAATTATTATTGTTATTTTTCTTGTTCATATTATAATGAATAATGTAATTTTATATAATTAATAATGATGGTTTTTTTTTCTTTTTCATCATATTTTGTAATATTGGTAATTAAATGTGGTAATCAAAAATTACAATTACTATTATCATTATTTATTCCAGTATCATCATTAACTGATTACTATCAATATATTAGTTTTGTTATCAATATCATAAACTAAATTATTATTATCGTTATTATTATTTTAACAAATGAACATTGGTTGGTATAAAAACCCGCACAATACACAAACAAATATCGTATTTTATTATATTCTTAAAAAATATATCATGATATAACAAAGAATATAAACGGTGCTTTATAATATAAAGTTTTTATTCGAATCATTCTAGAAACAGACTAAGAAAAATCTATCAGTATTCATAATGCCTTAAGTTCATTTCATGGACGCCAACATCAATATTTCATCTGTATCTCTTAGCAATGTTTTGGCCCCAAGCATACTAATCCATATATATCCGCATTAAATCGATAAATTTCCAAATATACAGTAAGCGAGATGGAGACAAGTTATAAGACTAAACCCGCCACTGAGCGAATCACAACACTCAGTGATAAACACAAGCTTCCTCCAAAGGTTGTAAATTTATTCTTTTTGAAAAAGCGTCTCCAAGCGTTTTGTTTTTCAAAATGTACACACGATTTTTTTATTTGGAAAATGTTGCCGTAACGACTTTTTCAAACTTTCACAAAACCGTTCATTCACGCTCAATTTAAGTCGTAGAATCACCCTAGCGTTTTTCACATTCATTTATGTGCTTATGTATATAAATATTTACACACCTTTCGTCTGAATGATCACATAAATAAAGATTAGATTTGCGAGTAACGCTTGTTACTTTACACAACACGCATTCGTATACACATCTGCAAAATATGCATCCCCGAGTCAAATCACGTAGATGTTACACCGTCGAAATAATCAATTGCACTAGAAAACATTTGAGCAGTCGATGAATAAGTACAAAATGTCGTCTGCGGAACTTAATATTCATTGCCCTTATATCTGTATCAGAATTTTAAGACATAGCCTTATGCACTCCATCTCATTTACGCGTAATCAAATAAGAAATTTACAATCACTAATGCTTAAAATATGCAGCTTGGAACTGGATAGAGAATAATGTTTTCATTAAAAGGCGTACTTATCATGCAGTTGACGAATACATTTGAATTTGTTTGTATACGCTTTCTCCATAATTGTTGCAGTCTTTGTTGCATTATTAACACTAGCAGACGACAGACGAAGTAGAAGAAGCTCTTCGTTTCCCTCTCAGATTCTTTATTTTTAACAGTTGCAGAGGCCAAAATAAAAGAGAATATTTAGCTCACGAATATATGGATATGTTATCGGTCAACGTAGCCTTAAGGTAAGCTCATACGAATTTTTCAAAGTAATACAAATAAAGACAATAATATTGTTATAGATTAAATATTTATAATAATAATGAAATATAAAAAAATTAACATTATCTTGAAACTAACAATCTAGGCTTAAATACTTCGTTATTTCCTCAGCGAGTGCCCTGTCCAGTTGAATTATTTTCAAGCTTTAATGTTGAATCACACGGTTTTTTCACAACGTATCTTGTCTCCAGAGATCTTATCATGGCGGTTGTCCGGATCATCTTCATCACGGGGTTGCCAGAACCGTTAAAATATAATACCTTGATCATAGCTTCCAAAATGTTGTAAATCTGAATCGATGGTTGCAAGCTTATAGGGATCATAGCTCTGTAAGTCGTCGACTGATCGGACTCATCTCGTCAGTCAATGACCTTCTCCCGCCCGTGTCCACATCCACCGATTTTTGTACAATCCGTACCCAATATCAGGTGGAGTTTTTGCCTTTTCATCTCGCGCATGCCCAAGTGTCTGAGAGTGTCCACCTGTCTACTGTCAGGCTCTGAAGTAAAAATAATGGTTTGTTTGATTTCTATTTTGTATGTTAATGGTTGATCCCATGACATCATATTTCATTAATTCGTTTATTTATTTATTTTTAAACAGTGTAACAAAAAATAACAAACAAGAATCAGTTGACAAATCTAGTATTGGCTAAATTAATGGCATAATTTATGTTAGCGTGGATGTGTTACAGTTGATGATATGCCTATTCTGAAAACAAATGGAAAATGAGCAGGTATAGTTATATTTTGGCATTATCATAATCGTCATTATCATCCTCACTACCATTATTTTCATAATCATAATCATAATCATAATCACCGTCATCATTACAACAACATCATCTTAACATTATAAATACCATCGTATCGTTTATTTTGTTGAAATGAACTTACAAAAAAAAAAACAAAAAACAACATAGACACTCGGGAATGCCCAAAGTACAATCTTTTACATTTCCACAAAATGTTGATTTAACAATTTCTGAACAAAGACAACTATCAAAAAACGAACTCATTTACAGAAAAGTCATTATATAAGGTCGACAGCTGAATTGCTATAAACCTGTACTTTACAGCCTTGGTTCCCAACTAATTGTGTTTAACTTGAAGGCGGCCTGTAAGTAGTAAGAGTAAGTAATAATGATTGATAAAGTAGTCATTGGTTTTAAGCGAATTTTTGAAAATCTGTTCAGTAGGCTAAGTAGTGTGCTTACCGGTACCTAATAACTAATAAGTATAATTATGCAATAAGGTCACGTGACCTACCTACCTTCATCTTCCTGCCTTTATAATATGGTGACGTTAGGTACGGGGTAAGGCGAAGCATTGACAAAGGGAAGAAAGATACGCCTGGAGACTATTGCTTTTACATGCCTAGGCAGTAGACAATTCTTTTGTGACGGAATTGAATGCGAAATGCCACACTCATTATAACAGTCACAAAAAAACAAGACAAAACAAAACAAAATAAAAATAAAACAAAAAAACCCCCTTCGTTAGCTTTGATTTGTACTCTACTTATTTGTATATTCATTATTCTGAGATCACACACCTAAAGATAATTTCTGAAAGAAGGTATTAATAATATAATTAAATGTAGGTCTATGCCAAAAACAAACAATGAAAGTAACCAGAAAGTATCTCAATGAACATTGCTTATAAAACAACTTTAATCTCAGAAGATTGCCTTCAGTAACATTAAGTTAAGTAGTGTCAATTTAGTTTTATAAAACACTCAAATAACATCACCGTTATACTCGGTGTTAAAGTAGCTCCCAGCCTTATGACGACAGCATGACTGCTCACCATTATCATTATCTTCATCATTATCGTCATCATTATTATCATCGTCATGTCATAACCATTATTATTATTATTATTATTATTATTATTATTATTATCATCTTCATCATCATAATCACCACCATCACCTTAATCATCGCCATCATTATCGTCATCCTCTTGACAAACCTCAACATCCTCAGCACCATAATAAATCAACACCATCATCATTATCATTATTATTATCATCATCATCATCATGATTTATCATCATCATCGCCATGACCATCATCATCATTATTATTATTATTATTATCATCATCATAATTGTAACGACATTAACTTCAACAGTATAACCGTCCTTCGAACTCATAATGGAATATGTATCATTCATCCTAAATAGATTAGGCCAGCCTGCTTACCATATACCGTAGGTCATATTTTTGTTATCTCTTCATAATCTTTCCTATGGTCGAATATGCAACATTTAAGACCACAGTGATGCGTCGGTCAACGTTCAGTGGAGTCGATATGATTTCATGGACACCACAACACACATGTCGAGACGCGCGACGGACGATCGACTCAGACTGCACTGCCGCCGACAATCAGCTGACGGCGTCGTCAAGCTTTAACATTGATAGTTGATTCTGATTCAGTGTCCCTATCTCTATAGACACAACTAAATCTTGCACCGGGAGTGCGAGGGAGTAGACCTACATAAATACAATTTATGATATTTTTTTTCGTCCGTATGTTGTCACAATGAAATGTTTAATTACCTACTTTGCATATCTAAGTAAGTTAGCTTTTATTTGAAAATTTGAATGAGTTTAACAGACATATAGAACATATTATTTCTATTTTCTTTTGTATAAGCCTTTGCATTGACTGGTACAGTACTCAACTTAGTCAGTTTTATATCAACACATGTTGTTTTATGTTTTTTATATATGTGTGCTATTAATGCCAATAATGTATTTGATTAAATTAGCTATTCAATTTATTTTAAAAAGATCCTATATTTTATTACAGAGGGTACCGGTATATCGTTAATTCTGATAATGAATGATTTTATTATTGGCCTATGTGTGTAACTACTTTTTTCCCGCAAGTGTCCTTGTATTTAACGGGCCAAACATTTAATTAGATATAGTAATGATGGCTACGCACATCGTTTACTTCAATTTCTCTTGTTTTTAAATCTAATAGTCGTGCACAATATAATGTAATAAATTGAAAACACCAGATTAACACGAACTAGTTAGCAAATGAAATACTTCGGCTCTACAGCGCTAAATCAGACATGCTAAGAACAGTTGACGACCGAGATGGCTGCGGAGCAGAGTCGCGTGAAGAGCTATCGCTCGCGCACGAACCTCGCTAACGGCACAAATTTCTCGGCGATGTAATTATAAAATTTTATCACTGTTTATTTCGCGTCACTAATTAGACAGTAGGAAGAGAGCCAGAGGGAGGGAATGATGTTCGTTGCTAGTAAAGCAATAAAACACACTCTCAGTAATATTTTGATTACTAATTGGAGAGATTGGCGTACGGAAATACGACCGAAATAGCCATTTGCAGCGCGGCATTAACCGAACCAGTGGGACGGTCCGCATCTGCTGTTGTTAAGCGAAGATGCTATTTTGTGTACACGTTATTTTTCCAATTGCGTCGAATGTTCAAGTTATTAACATGAATAATCAAATATTGTCTCGTTTCTGCGCATATACTAACTACTGAAATCCTCTCGTGTGTCATGATGCTTCGGATTTCTCGTTTTATGTTAAAGACTTAGCGGTCGAAAACGAGAAGCTATCAACGAGATAAGACGTTTGGGAATCATTAAACAGAATAACACTAAGTTGTCTACGCATCACATGCGAGTTTCTGACACTACCTCTGCGACAGTAATCGCAGTTTTACTACAATATGATAAGGTTTAATAATATTTATGATCGGTAAAAAATGAAGAATAAATTGCAAATCTATTCGAAACACATTACCCTTTTAGTTAATGCGTTCCCGAAACAGATTCTGTGAAATGACGTGTGCGTCCAACCAAACTTTCGGGATCGTTAGGTCTAGGCCTCTGTTGCAAAAAACGGCGCTAAAATTGATTTGAAAACGTCAATCGCTTTTATTTCCCACAGTTTCTTCATAGTTTACTTAAATCAAGAGGTAGGCCTAATACGTTTTACATTCTTGTTAAAAGCAAATATATCATGCTATGCGCCCTCATTGTTGAACGTGCCTGCGATCTGACGTTACATTGTTTCATGAAATTATGTCTTTTTCCAAGGTGGGCTGGGGAAGTCAACTGACGGGACCAAATTAAAAATATAATGCAAATATCTGGTCTAATAGATAATCCTTGTACTCACATATTTGTGTCATTTTTTTTGTAGTTGCTAAGTGGAAAATATTGGTAGGGGGATCTATGCCCACATAGTTAAAGTAAAACATAACAATTAAAAGGGATCAACTAAGTAACCAACTTCTAACGAAAAACAATTCAATCAGTACATATTTCGCTGATATACTACCAAACTTCTTAAAATGGATTACCAGCCTATTTAAGAGTCTATACAAAGATATAGAAATAGTACTGCATTGTAAATATTAACTCGTTTTTAATATTCAATTAAAAGATACAGTAATACTTTATTTTAAATATACAAACATAGGCCTATTATATTTATATTTTACATATTATACGAAATATATTCTCCAAATAGCCTATTCAAACAGTATATCTTTGAAATCTCACTAAACATAAAGTAGGCTAAGCTACCAGTTTTTTTAAATAAGCCATTTCGTGGTTTGAACTTCGCATGTCCGTATCCAGTGGTATCCAAGGTCAATAGATATAAACCTATTTTGGGTGACGTGTATGTATATAGTTATTTTTTTAATGTCGGATGACCATAGTAAGGGCATGCACAGTTCAAACTATGATTTAGCTTATTGTTGTTTTATATCATAACCACGACATTACTTAAGCTTCTTGATTAGATTTAGGACTGTTTGTATTCAACCGAACATTTTCTCATCGACAAATGACCCAATAATTGTACAATAATGATGTAAGTTTGCAGAAAAACCATCACGACCACAAGCCATTGCACTTCCGTCTCGATCATTAGTCCAATCAAAAGAATAAAAGAACACAGAAGCAATATTTAATCATCTCAGTAATATAATGTTATGTTGCTTTTAATTGACTAGTCCGAGTATTCAGTTTGCCCTACGACACAATCGTATCTATTATGTTAACAAATGGCGCAATGTTTACGCAGGAACTCTTAATTGAAATTCTGGTAGTTGTATGATATACATACGGGTTACCTTTCAAGATCAGACTATATTTCGTTGTCTAATTTAATCCGCAGAATAATAAGATCAAATAAATGCGCAAAAAAATGATGGCAACGCTTACATACGTATGTTTATGTTGTCTACCCGCCTTTTTGACATATTCAACAAAACCGTTAAGTGCGGAACAAAGCATTATTTAGAACTGGTCCATGAGAGTGAATGTCAGTGCAGGCCGGAGGCGTTTTTCCCGCGCACAGCCATTACTTTCGCTCGCTCAAGAAATTGGCGGGACGAATTGCACGCACACAATACATAAGTCATTCGGAGCATACATAGGAATATTATGAAAATGTAGTTACTATTACAGTTACAGTCACACTCATAACACGCAGTAGAAGTGGTCAGAATGTGTACATTTTCATAAGGTGTGAATGGATGAACGTGCCCTCACTAAACCATGTTTAGATAATAATACGCATTCACATTTAATGAAAACATTGTACTATTTCATCAATTATTTTACTAAAATTCAATATTGACACAGACATACGCAAGGCTATAATTGGTGGTTTTATTTCCTTTGAAGTGACTTTAGGATGATATATCACAGATTCCTCTTTAAAGTTCAGTATTTATATATAATTATAGTCGTAATGCAAGACGTTTTAGCGTTTATATTCTACCATGATTTATTTATAAAAATATCTTCGGAGATCCTGTCTTGTCGTTTAAAAATGTCTATCTATCTGTAGTGAATCAAGAACCAGCATTTTTCCACTACGAATGTGCAAAATTGTGAACAATCAGTTGGTTATCTTATCGGATTCGAATTTCCAAAGAAGCTCCAGTGGTCCATTTGGTTAATAAGTCGTGATTTGAACAACTTATTTTCCCCTAATGTAGGCTTATAACATTATAAAATCACCGCTTGCACATAGCTCCGGCTAAGTGTCAGTAGGTAGCTCTCTGTAGACAAGCAGTATATATAAAGCCTTGTCTTTCGACAAAACACGTGTCATGCCTAAATATGGTCATGATGACATAATATAATGACCATATATAGGCATACAACAGATTGTTGTCATTAGAAAAGTCAATAGTGTGGACAAAGCTTGGCACCAACATTGATCGCAAGAGGATGCAGGTTCAAATCCCGCTGGATAGGCCTACACATTTCCATATAGGCCTAACTGAATACAGAACATTCATTGATAAGCTATGCTTGATACGACTATAACATCGCTCTATAGTTGAGCACTTATTGCTATTTTGTTATATGTTCATATTGCGTCTACTACATGTACAGTGCTACGCAACAAGCCT